TTTAACACAATGGCTATGCTGCTTTCCTAAACAAGGAGGTGGTAACTTCTTCCAGTAGAGAAATTTCTTCAGCCAATGCAAAGGAGATTTTGTAAAATCTGGTGACAGTTCTACATCAGTGAACGTTGAGTGTCACAAACAGAAGCAACTCTCCAAAATTCACCTTATTAATTAAAAAAAAACAACAACAACCAAATTTTCAGCTGCATAATAAATTTTCAGCACTACTTATTTGATAAGGGCAAATGCTTCTGGGGATCTGCTGATGTACATATAATTACCTGATACACATAATCAGTCTGTATTCCACACCTTCCTCACCTTCCCTCAATGAAAAAGAGAAAAAGACAGCAAAAACTGAAAAATATGGATTTTGACAACAGAGAAATTCAGCAGCTTACCCCTTACTATGAATGCCTGCCCATGAACTGGAGCTGCATGTGTGCACATTTTCCATAAAAACAAACAAACAAACAAAAACAACAGCTCAAGACTTACAAGGACAGACTTTTGGAGAGTTTTAACCCTGATACATTTTGTCCAATAGACAAGAAGAGGTCCTATTTTGGGTAGTATAATTCATTATATTAGTTTTAAAACTAAATGAAAAGTGTCCACATTAACAGTGTTTCCCAGAGAGGAAAATAACAATAACAACCAATTGACCAAAAAAAAATAAAAATAAAAAAATCCTCAGCTCATTAAAACCAAGTCAAGATTTCCAATACTTTTAAGTCTGTGGAATTAAAATCAGTGGAAAAGCTTTCATTGACTTCATAGGATTTAAACTGTATCACTGTACAGATAAACATTACCTAGTTACTTAAGAGCTTGGCATGCCAATGTTGTAGTAAAATACACAAGGCACAATTCTGCCCCACTATGCTAAAGATCACACCTGCATGGGTGAGAACTGAGTTGGGAGAAGGGGAACACTGAGGTTATTTGCAGCAGCACTAAGCTGTTCAACTGATTTTCTGACCTCAATTCTACATTGCCCATATGCTGTTTCATAATCTATTTCATCACCTTAACTAGGAGGCACTGCAGTTGAGGAATGGCAAGAAAACCTGTTCTTGAGCTCACAAACTGCAATGTACCTGCAAATAATCTACTTCCCAAGTCTCCAGACAGATCTTACCCCCAGTTTCCTCACTTCTATCTGCATAATACGCTTTTTTTTGGTTTGCACTACTTCTTGGAGACCTGATGAAGAATACTCTTCTGCAGGTCTCACACAGTACCTCCATTTTCCGCCAGTATATCCTGTTATATCCTGAGTTAACATAGTCACACGATAGGGCTTGGGCATTTAGAATTTCTCCTATACTATCAACCATCAAATAGGAAAAGGCAGTTACTTAGTGCAGAAGTATGTCTCATTTATACCAAAAACCTGTCCTCTTGCTTCCAGGTGGCTGTGCCCAAAGCAGAGTGCAGGTTCAGCAGAAACGTGTCCCTGGTTCTGAGGGAAAGCACTACTAGCCGGCCAGCTGGTAAGCGCTACACTGGTGCCCACAGGTCTGCCCACTGGTGAACACAGGTCTGGGCTGGTCCCAGTCTGAACTACAGAGATCTTTCTGTGACACACAACATCAGACAGAGTACATTTCTAACAGATGAACAAAGTTAGTCTGTTTTGTTGGAGATTAACTTCACCTGTTGCTGCGATCTTATCACGGGGTACTTCAGGTATCACACCATTCACAAAGACTAGGAAATAGCTTTTGGGAAATGAAAAACTTTATCTGCTAATATGTAACATGTTTTTAACATTGCAGGAGCTATTTTGAAGTAGAAAATGTACACTAATGTAGGAAAAGATTGAACTTCTCACTCCAAAGAGCAGTAACTTTAAAAGATTTTTCCCTTGTTGCTAAAACAAGTTATGTCAGATAGGGCAGAGATACTGGTATGGAAGCTAATGGCTATTAACCTCCAAGAACTAAAGGATAAGCAAGTAACAACAGATTAGAATACATAGGAATATAGTTTAAATTACTCATTTTCTAGGTGCTCCTCAAAATTTATTAGGAAAAAACATAATTCAAGAATGAAAGCTACAGAGCAATAACATGAAATTAGAAAATTGGTGAAATTCTTTCATATATATACTTCCAGGGCTGACAAAATTCTTTCTGGAAAAATGATATGAAAGAATTTCCACTTTAATTTCAGAACTTGGCAAAGTATTCATTTTTTAACAGGTAATCCAGAACACCTGATGCTCTTTTCAGTCTTCTAATCATGTTGGTGTAATTACTACACACACAACTATATACGTTAGCAACATTTGGGCTCCTCAATGACGGATCAGGGTCTGTGGCAGTTAGCTGCCAATTCGATAAAGATTTATTCACGCCAGAAGAACAACAAAATACACATGAAGAACAGTAGAAGCAAGACTACAGTAAGGGTCTTTTGCGGACCTTTAATTGGTCATAGGTTTATAGAAGGTCATTTTTACACTTTATAGGGAGAGGCTTTCTGTCTTGGCAAACCAAACACAGTGAAAGCAGAAACTCTGCAGACAGTCACAGTGGAGAACCAGCAAACTTCCCTGGCAGTTCAAGCTAGGAGCAGAGTGAAAAAACATTGTATTATATTATTTCTATTTTATTTTGTTATTTTCTAGCATTTAAATCACTTCAAGCAAAATTCTTTTAAACTTGACGTTTTAACAGTTTCACTTCACTTTCAGCTCTCTTCATGGGATGAACAACAGCCACCATTTTCCTGCACTAGATCCAAAGCTCACAGAAGCAAACTGATGTAGTAATACAATCGTAAGAGGGCAGTCAGAAGAGACAAATGAAGGCCTCTAGTAGCCACAGGTTTGTGAAATAATTCCTCCCAGAAGACGGCAGAACACCACTTTCATCCAGTCAGAAGCCACATACTTTCAGAGATACGCACTTTGGTCAGTATGAATTTGGAGACAGTAGGAAGATGGTTAAAAGTACTTCGCGTTTCCTAGTACTTGTTTTTGTTTTCTACAACCATCTTTAAAATGCAGAGGTAATTAGGAGAACATTGTAAAAATTTGCAGAAATTCTAATTTAAACCCCTAAAGGAAACAGATCCGTAGGAAAAGTACATCTCCATTTTTTTCCTGACCTACACCATAGCTGTGCCCAAGCACTTTACGCTTCCATGATAAAAAACTGTTCTTAAATACAGTCAAGATGTAATTTGTTAAGATAAAAATACTCTCTTAATAGAGCTTAATAATATGAATATTAACTATAACCTACTCTGATTAGGAGGAAGAGAAGTAGCAGTAAGAGAGCTGCTCTGAAATTAACACCTCCTATTTTAATATGTTGGTCCATGATATAAATGAACATCTGTAGTTGAACTCCTCTGTGCAGAAAAGAAATTGGATATTTATTGATGCTGGTTGAATGTTTATGAAGACCAAACAGTGGATGTGAGCACAAGGAAGCTGTGGGTGGTGCATTTCAGCAGTGGTCACAGTGGGTCACCTCCACTGGTACAGATTGTTAAGTGTGTGGCATGCGGGCTCTTGTTCATTGCTGGCAAAGAACTCATAGCTAATGATAGTCACTGCTGAAAAATAGTGTTCTGACAGAGCTGAGAACGTGCTCTAACAAATAGTGTTATTATGCTCTTTGGATCTGATCCATGGAAATAAATAGGAGGCATTACTTTCAGAGCAACCCATGAATTTTAATTGCGGGTCCTTAGCCGGTGTAAACTTCACCCTGTTCTCTCACAGAGGCTGTCATTACCAAACAGGCTCAGAAGGCAGAAGATTAAACACCTGACCATCACAGGTGTTGAAAACGCAGAGCTTTATGAAAACGCTCAGCGTTGCTAAGTGTTATTTTCTGACGGGTTCTTGCACTGTTTACCTGCCTGTGTGAAAATATTTGAGCTCTCCAGCTTTTGTAACCGAGTTACGAAATGGTGACTCGCTCTCACGGCAGCCGTTAGCAGGAAGGGATGCCTCTGCTGCACGCCGTAACACGAGTAACGTCAGTCCAGCGGGTGCGCAGCGCTGCTGCCTCGCACTGCAGCGCCAGGCAGAGCGGCGGACATTGCCCAGCTACCGTCAGCTGCTCTCCAGCGACTGGCGCCGCTGTGCCTGGGAACGCGTGCTCAAGACGCAGTCCGAATGCGTGCTACGAGAAGGGCTCCTACAGAGATGACCGAGTCCCTCCATGGAAAGAAGAAAGCTTTCAGTCTTTCACCGTGTCATCTCCTTCTTGCTCGCGTGTTGCAGCAGCACGATATACGACACGCACGCGCCGCCACTGCATGGTTTTACAGCACAAACGGCAATTCTAGTCAGTCAGTTCTTCTGACGCCCAAAATGGACGGCGCTGCTTACCCGCGCTTGCGGGCAGCGAGACGCAGCGAGCAGCCCCTTCAAGGGCTTCGCCGCCGGGCCGTGCCGCGTCACCTCACGGGCACGCCTGGCCGCCTTGGGGAACAAAGCCGGGAGGGCCCTCTGCACCACAGCCGCAAGCAGACGTGTCACTTTCTCAACGACCGCTTAAAGGGCGCCTTACGACGTGGCGGTTACGACGGCGGCCAGCGCGGCCGCCCTCCGACCCCTCCATCCAGCCACACGCGCAGCCGCACGCCCGCCGCAACTCCCCCACAGCGCGCCGCCTTCCGAGGCGCACAGCCCCACCCCCGGCAGGCGGGGCCGCCCGCACCCGACTCGAAGGGGCGGGGCGCGCGCGCGCCGCGTCCCGCGACCGTTGAGCACGCGCTGCGGCCGTTACGCCGCGCGGGACCCCCGCGCATCAAACTCCCGAAACCGCCCCCCTCTCCCTCCGCCTCGCGCGAGAGTAGAGGCGCCGTTCCGCGCAGGCGCGGTAGCGGCGGCCGCGCCTCTCGCGAGCCGAGAGGCGGGGCGCGTCCTCCGCCGCGTCGCCCGCGGGGCGCGAGGCCGGCGGGGGCGGTGCCCGCGGGCCGAGGACCAATCGGAGGCGGCGAGCGGCGAGGGGGGCGGGGCCGGGGCCGAGGGGGGCGGGGCGGCGGCAGGCGGGCGCGGGCCTGGCGGTGATGGCGGACGGCGGGGATGGGCGGCTAAGGACTGCGGACGACGGCGGCGCGGGGGAGTCTGCGGGCGGCGGGATGCTGCTGCACGTAGGGCTGCTGGCGCTGGCGCTGCTGGCCGCGTACCGGCTGTACCTGCACTGGCGGAAGCGGAGCGGGCCGGGGGACGCGGCCCAGCAGAGCCAGGCCGCCCCGCTGCCGCGGATGAAGCGGCGGGATTTCTCGCTGGAGCAGCTGCGCGAGTTCGACGGGACCCGCAACCCCCGCATCCTCCTGGCGGTCAACGGCAAAGTCTTCGACGTGACCAAAGGCAACAAGTTCTACGGGCCCGGTGAGCGTCGCGGAGGGCGGGGGAGGTGGGGGCGGCCCGGCCGGGCCCGGGGGGCGGCGGTCCGAGTGCTGCGGGCAGGGCCTCGCCGAGCCCGGCGGTGCCGTGCCGAGACGCGGCGCCTCGCGGGTGGCTTTCCAGCTGCCTGACGGATGCGGGGCTGCGGTGCTTTAATCGTTTGTCTCTGTCCCTACTGGTAGGTTTGCCACGTGCAGGCGAGCGGTGCTTCCTGCCTTCTAGCTGTTACGGCTCAGGGAGGAGTAAAGCCGGCTGGCTGCTTACCTAAAGGTGCAGGTGACATAACAGCGTGAGTTGTAATCAGGATGGAGGCGAGCAGGGGGAGCTGGTGGGCCGACAGTGCCGATACCAGCTAGGTGTGTGCGGAAAGCAGCCTGCTCTCTCAGGCAGAAAGGTAGACAATAGCGTTCTTCAGTGCTGAAACGTGTCTTTCACACATAAAGAAGCGTGCGTCAGAGCCAGCGGTAGGTTTCCATGTTCGCCGTGTGGATCATTTATGAGGAATAAATACGCAGTGGTTTCACGTAATGAGCTGGGCAAGTGCTGAGCTGTGTGTGCTAACCCAGTGCCAAAGGAAGTGAGTTATGGCTGCTGCTCATTTTCTTCCTGAAACAATGGTGGTTTGGAAAACCGGATCTAATCAAATTACACAGGAGTTTTTCGTAGTAGGTGTGACAATTGCCTTTGTATGAGGGGCAGAGGGGAGAGGACGCTGTGTTTTTTTTCCCAGGAAATAGTTCAAATTAGATGGCTTTTTTGTGTTTGGTTTTGTTCTTAAGTTCGTAGGTTATAAAAATAAAAACATAAAAGCGCAGTGCTGCAGGTGTTCGGTCCCAACCGGTGACAAGCAGTTGTACAGCTGAACCAGGCTTGTGCTCTTGTCACGCTCAGGGGATCTGATACCAACTCTGCTGCCAGTCACAGAAACTGAAGCTGCCGTAAGTGAATCAAAATGCTTTCTGTTTGGGTACTGGAAAAGCTAGCACTAGGCTCTGAGCTACCTGGCTGTGCCTAGATTACACCTGTTAATGGGTGAAGCTGAATTGATAGATTTCTTCAAAAATTACCCCCATGAAATAACATTGAACCACAGTCACAACATTAATTTTAGCTGTTTTGTCTATCAGACAATTTCTGGGCTATTCTCTGTAGATACTATCACTGGTTTGCATCCTCTGCCTCTGGCGGCCCACTGCTGTGAAGAAACTGAAGCATTATGGTTAAGCACATCAGCCTGCTTCTTTGATAAGTGCCAGCAGCTGGTTTCCCTAAAGGAGTGCATCCTGCCTTTGTACAGAGGGACATGTGTTTGTAGGTTGGTTGGTTTTTTTCTGTTTTTTTTTTTGCCCTGTTTTGAAAAATGGCCTTTTAATAACAGGCCCGGCATAATTTTCCTCTGTCAGATCTCTGTTATGTGTGCACATTAAGAAATTGGTGCTCAACCTATGCATCAGTTCTGTGTTTTCTATCACATCATACCAGTGTGGTCAGTCTGTGTGATGCATGTCAAGTAGTATTTTCTTACAATTGTTTTCTGACCAGAACAAAGAAAAAACTAATGAGTGGTTGGAGACCTTAAAAGATCTGAAAAGAGTTAGGTGGAAAAGTCTTCAGCTTTTAAAGCTGTACCTTTCCACAGGGACGTCTGTCACAGTAACCAGATGTCTGCAGAAGTTTTCTTGGTAATTCTATGTTTCGTAGCTGGAGTACAGCAGAAGTGCAAAACCGACAAAACGATGGCGAAGTTTTGTTAAACAGAAAAAGAAGCAGCTGAGAGCTCTGACTTTGCTGACAGCACGAGCTTGGTCTGGGAGCTGCTTGTATTCTGTTGAGGCACTGATGCATAGTGGTGCCCCAGCTTTGAAGGTGGCAAATCTGCATTGGCTGAAGGTTCACTATTGTCTCTTAGGCTATTTCTTGACTCTGGGTTGCTGCTGAGTAATACGGCTGTCTCAGAAGGCTTCTGACATCTTGACTGGAAAGTCTCTTCTTTTTTTTTCCCGCAATAGTATGGATGCAAATGTTTTCCTTACATTTGTACTTTGTGCATAAGGTTAATACACAGAATTGTCATCTAGCCCACGTTTTTGTCCAACAGGTGAGATTTCACTGAAGATCTTGCAAAGCTCTTGACTTTATTAGAAGCTCTGCTCTTTTTAAGTTTCTGTCCACTGAATCCTGGTATTCTTTGCTCTGTTTCAGTGAAGAGCCCACTAAAACCTACAGTTAATATCTAAAAGAAGTGGATAGACTGTTTACTTCATCCTTTCAAACAGCCATCATTGAAAGCTCCATTTCTTGAACATTTAATCAAAATATCTTCCAATTTTTTTTTTTTTAACATTGACTCTTTTAAGCTTTCCACAATTTATCCTAGTGGTAATTAGTCTTTGGTACGTCTGGTGCATTTCAGGTGAGAGCAGGAAGGTTGTATCACACATTTAACTGTCTGTGCCTCCAAGAATCAGTTCTTTTACATTGTGCTCTCTAAAAAGATCACTTAGAGGGTTCCTAAGATAGTCTTCTGTCCTGCAAGCATACCTTTGTTTCATTGTTTCACTTTTAGTTGTATTAAATAAATATCACTTCTGTTTGTTCCCGTTTGAGTTCTAGAATGCTTTGTTTGATTATTAATCTTTATTACCTTGTCCTTTATCATCTGCAAACTCTGCAAGTAATCAAGCAAACAATTAATGGTTCACTTTAAAAATTATGAGGTCAGAATATCAACTAAATTGTGGTGGGGTGATCTCCCCATCCACAAGCACATCTCATGACTGAGAGCCTAATGGTTGTTACCTTTAGTGTGTGCTTTGTTGTTTTATATCTTTATCACAGGAGACAATTTTTACTGTTTCATTTATTGTAACGTTAACTTTCATGTTTGTTTACATTAAGATTCCTCTAGGTATATTGGTCAATAGAAAGGCATAGTAAGAGATAAAGTAATCTTAATATTCAGAGTTTAAATTGGCATGGTAGTATAATACTGTAAACAAGTTTCGATCAACTGAAAAATACTTTGTGTAGTTATGAAAAAACTCATTTCTTGAGCGTGACAAATTTCTTGAGTGTGACAAAGCAAGGTTGTATGCAATCCAGTATACACAACTGTTTCACATCACTTCTTGGGTCTTAATTTCTCATTATTTAAAATAGTCAATTTCCTGATAGTTTTCCTATAATACATTGTCACTGTCAGCTCATTTCTCATCCCACTTCAGTCTGCCAAAGTGTCACAAAGATCCCTACTTTCCATTTTTTCAAGAGGAATAGATCAGGCTGTGGTAGTATTTCCTTCCATAAATATCTCTGTTGTGGTTCATTTGTAATTAGGGGAGAATTGGCTTTCTTGTTTGCTGCAAATGCAACTGACAACTAGAATATCCAATATTAAATTATTTGAAAAATTGAACACTGTCATTTCTTCCATTGTTTATGTAATATAAAATGATGCTGCCCAATTCCTTAGGAATTTAGTGCTGTGAGCTTAATTATACTTGCATTTAAAAGTTGTTCTGGATAGTATTGATGCTTTTATACTTCACGTACAAGGGCAGGGCTAGAGTGAAATGCTGCAGGTGGAGCATGTGTGCTGTGTCTGGAGAAGTCTGTTAAGGGTGGCCTTATCTGCAGAACACAACAGGCTGAGTGTTAAGAGACAAGTACAGAGGGTAAGATGGGGGGAGCAGTCTTCCTGTGAGGTGTGGGTCTTCTGCAGTTCGTTTTGATGCTTGCCTGCTCTTTGGTGTTGTGCAAGGGAGGTGGTCTCTCCCTGGGACTCAGCTTCTCAAAGAAACCAGTGTTTCTGGGAAAAGTATGGTAGTACCAGAATGAGTAAACTGAAAAGGTTCAGAAACACCTACTGAGAAGAGGTTGTCTCTGTGCTTCTGGTACAAGGGAGCGGGACAAAAGGGTCTCCATTCCCTGAGAGGAGGAAGCAGTGTGGAGTATGCAGGAAGATGCAGCTCTCTGCCCTCTGCAGCTTCTACTCTGTGACCAACAGCTGCTCTCTGCCTTTACTGATTAGCTGAATATATTCCTTAACACTTGAACAACTGCTTGATATAAGCTGGCTGAGTAAATCCCTAGTAAAATCATTCAAATTGGGATCTGGGGACTTGTCCAAGTGTGATGTACATGGTGCAATAGCTTGTGATTAATGACGTATAGATGTTAAATCCAGCACACAGTGGTGCATCTCTCTTTCATGTAATCAAGACCCTGGCTAGCACTGCTTACTTTATAATGGACCAAACTATGGGCAGAGTACTTACTTCTCCCTGAGGCGAAGTTTGGGATTGGTGTCCTCTCCAAGTGTAGAGTTCTGTGCCAGAGCCTCCTGACAGCTGAGCTGCAGGCTGTCTGAGCAGTGCTCACTGACAGCCTCTCCAGTTCAAGTTAGGTCACTGTTTCTTTCACTTCTCCCACAGAGTTGGAGTGAAAGCTGGCAGAAGGGAAAGGGAGGCCTGGGCCTAAGAAGTCCGATTTAGACCCGAGCAGTTCCCATTTCAGCACGTAGACTTTATGGATCATTTTCCAAAGAATGTTTACTTTCCATGCAAGTTGTAACTTCAAACTGATCCACATCTTCCCATTCCTGTAAATCTGGAGTGAGTTTGAAGTTAAAATGATGTTACCTTGAATTCCATTTATCCATGTTATTAGAAAACTTCTGTTTTCAAGTTGCATCTCAAGACAGCTTTGTTGAATTTGTAGCTTTTTAGTTCTCTCATAAAAGGAGCAACACTGAACAGATGTCTCAAGATTTGGATGGAAAACTTTAAGCAGATATAGATTTGTTTTGATTTTTAGCAGAGAAGGTAGACAAAGTGGTAAGTTAGTGCAGCTGTCAGCAATTTCTTGCTCTTTCTCCATTCAGTCATTTAACTTACATTAAAAGAGAGGTTTGCCTTTATTCTTTTCTGGAGCTTAAAGAATGTTGTCCATGAATTTCGAGCCTGCAGGTGGAACAGGGCTGTATTCCAGTGGCTGCATAGGATGCATAGATTTTAAGAACACCTGCTATGGGCAATGTGTTTGGTGATTTCTCAGAAGTGTTTTTCGGCTGCTTTCAGAAATGAAAACTGGTGTAAATTGAAGCTCATTAGCCTGCATGGCTTCTTCAAGGAATGTGCATTAATCCCATGAAATGGAACACAGTTGGATAGCTGATAGTATCACTAGGTTAGACACCAAGTCCATGTACAGCTGTTTGTGGTGCAGGTCCCTGTACTGACAGCCAGAGGAATCTGGAGTTCGGTGCACAGCATTCACTTTCATTACTGGTTCTGGAGCAGCAGTGTGGGATCTTCTGCAAAATCAGCAGATAACTGAAATGGTCCTTGTGGTACGCTGAGAAAATCTACTCCAGATATGAGCACCAACATCGGTTTTGGGGAATTACTGGTGAAATCATTTGAAAATTCAAATGCAGGTTGTGTTCCAAGATCCAGTTCAGCCTGTTTTGGACCAACTGACTGGAAAAAATGCTTCCAAATAAAACCTTCAGCTTGGATCTTCCAAGTGTCAAAATACTGTGTGCTAATATTGTTTTTCGTTGCCTGCTGTTGCTTAACATATGGAAGCAAAGAAAAATTAATTCTTCATTTAAGATCCAAAACAGGGCTAGGAGATGCTGAAATCCTGTTCCTGAGTGCAAGAGTTGGAGAGGTTTATTTGTTGACTGAAGAGACTTGAGTTTTACCAAGTCTCAGGCCTGCCCAGTTCATTTGTAGGTAAAGATGAATGTCAGGCTGGAACACATCTGTCAGGAAGGGCAGATTTTATTTGGATTTTACAAGGAAGGGAGAATCCTTGCTTCCTGGGAGTTGTACCAGGCAGTGGGTAGCAGTATTTGCATGTGCTTAGATTAAAGGAGGTTATATTTTATATAAGGTAGAGTTGTAAGGTAATTGAGGACTTTATACAGGGAAAAGGGCAGTGTATAAATGTGGTATTACAGAGGTAGAGATAGGCAGGCAGGCAAATACATAGTTTTGATAACAGTTTGGTCTCAAAGCTGAGCTAACACTAGAACAAAGGCTGGTAACAGTGAAAGCAATGATGGGAAGAAAAACGTTTTTCAAGCAAAGCTTCCTTAATGTAAGGCTCATGACCGTGTGTAGCCAAATAACATGGAGATATTTCAATGATTTTTTGATAGTTACATGACTTTTCCTCTTATTGTTTTGAGATGTCAAATAGACGTGGGAGGAGAATTTGTGAAGTACTTGGCTAGGAAGTAGCTAATTTTGTGAGGGTACAGAGAAAGAAAACAATTTAGAGTCTGTGGTAGTCTTGAAAAATTGATTTAGTCTACATACGTACTACTAGCATCTCTTTTTACAATCTCTTCAGTATGTATACTGGTGGCACAATGAATTATTTATAGCAGGAGCCAGTCTAAATAGATAGGCAGACAAAAGGAAATAAAAGAATAGCTGTAGGTAGGACTTGTGGAGTAAATTGCATCTGGTCATGAAAGAACTCTGTGGGAGGAGTACTTCAGGGATTGCACTCATGTCTCTGCCATAAGATAATGTTCACACAGCCTGTTTCTTACTCAGAATTGTCTATGCTTGCACCTTCCTGAATGACCTCCCAGGACCTGATGTGCAAAATACCTTTTTAGGACCACAGTATCAGTATTTATATAGTGAATAGTAGACAAGGGGTCATAGCAAAATACAGCTGTGTATATTCTGTACTAATTACAGCATTTAAAATTTATCCGTGTAAAGTTACCTGAGGGGAAGCTTTAAATCTTAAAGTAGATTGCTGATGTGTTGAGATGTCTGAACTTGTACTTTACCAGCCCTGTAAGTAAGGTGAAGCCAGGCTTTCATTTTTACTATTTTCTTAAAACGTTCCTAATTCAGTAGTAACGGATGAAAGAATGTGGTATTTTGAAAGTTACGTTTGCAGAGCTGGAATTTCAGGTGCTGAGTCTGAAGGCTTGTTTTCACTTGCTAGCATTCTGCTGAATGCTTGCACCTGGTGTGATTGTTTGTATACGATTCCTGAATACTCTTGTAGTAAACACACTAAAACACAAGCGTTTAAAATCAGTTTTAGAAAAGATGTAGCCATATAGTGGCATCTGGCATTATCATATATTAGGAGAAATCTTGCACTGATGGTCGTAACACAAACATATGTTCTAAAGGCGTTCACACTTTCAACTAAATATGCTGTTGAGATGGAAGGGTGTTCAGGGGTTGGTACTGAGTAACAGTATAATTCTTCAGCAGAAACAACTGGCATCAAGCTAGTGGATCAAGAGGTGGCATCTCAGCAGTGGCTATAGAGCTCCTTAAAACTCCAGATGCAGAGCTTCAGGCAGGGCCAGTGTGCTCCTCTAACAACAGTTAGTCAAAATTCTGAGAATGATATATAAATAGAGTTTATGGAAACTTTGTTTTAAATGCTTTAGGGAAGGGAAAAAATCTGGGGCAGAATACTGTTGGCAGGTAACTTAAACTGCAATTTATAGTCGCTCTTAAGGATTTACCAATTGTGCATGATCTTTGTAAAAGCTGTTTATAATGTTGAGGGCCTGTGTTCCTCATTCAGAACATCAACAGCGAGATCATTTGAATGGCAGCTGGTTTGGAATACAGCAAGACTTCTTTCTTGAAAAAGCTCTGCATTACATTGCCATTGGCAGCCATTACTACCTCTTACCAGTTTTATGAAAAGTGTCTGAGTGTGATGAGTAAATTAAACATCTTGGTATAGGATTCATTTCAGTTTCTAAATTGTGTTTTGCAGTGAAATGTTCACTGTAGTAAGAAATGTGTCAAAAGATCCACTGATTGTCAAGTTATGGTGGCTCTGCAAGTGAAGTAATTGACTGGCACTCTAAATGGATTTCTTACTAAGGTGTCCATGTGATTTGGTTCTGTTCATATCCTACTTTTAGCTGCTCTGTATTTTCCTTAATAGAAGTAGATTTCTTTTGAATGCTGGCCTCCCATCTCTTTGGAATTCACATCACTTGACTTGCATCAAGGGTCAGCGATTTTTCCAGATACCCCTTCAGAGCTGTTTTCTTGACTCTGCTTCTCTTGGCAGACTTTATCTCCTAATGATACCTAAGATTGAATTGCAGTGTTGTTGAACATTGGACAGCCATAGTGTCAAAGCTGCAAAAGCATGGGACTTCTCATGTATGGCTGTGGCAGACTGAAGAACTGACATGAGTCAATAAGCAAAGACCTGAAGGTATTGGTTTTGTCTTTTTGTTTTCAGAGGGTCCATATGGAATATTTGCTGGCAGAGATGCCTCCAGGGGACTAGCAACTTTCTGTCTAGATAAAGATGCACTCAAAGATGAATATGATGACCTATCGGACTTAAATGCTGTACAGATGGAAAGTGTAAGAGAGTGGGAAATGCAATTTAAAGGTAACTGCTCAAATTAGAACATCTTAAGCTTAAGGAAATGCTTTTAATATAAAATGACCGACTTGGGCTTAGGCATCTTTAAAAGAGATGTTGATAGTGACATTAATAATGCAATGTGGCTTTCCTAGGAAAAGACCATGGATTTCAGGTCTTTCTTCTTTAGAGAAGATGCCACTATATCCCACTATAACTTTTTTACCCTGATAGTTTTATACAAGAAAGATGTCCTCTTTTCAGCTATTCAGTGTAGAGTAGCTTAGCCAGTGGAATTCCTGCTCTCAGGTTGTTTGCTTTGGATCCCATTGAATTATGACTAGGACAAAGAGTTATTTGGGCATTAAGAGTTGAACAAGTTTGTCTTGAAATAATTTCTAAAATGTATGGAAGTATGCCTGTGGAGGGAAATAATTTTTTCACATTAATTGAAATTGAAACAGGCAGAGGAAATTCATGCTGGTTCTAATAGCACTATTTTCAGCCTTTATGTGATAAAGCCAGGCTGATTAGAATCAAAATCAAAGTACTGAGAGCAGAACAAGTAGTGAGCAGCAATGGTACCAAGACTGTTTTAGCAGCTGAGCTCACTGATAAATTGCCATCAATACCAGTGATTCATGTTCAGAACCCTAATGTGTGTGTGGGAAAAATGAATTAGCAGCAATGCAGGCTAACTTGTGAATGAAGCTGTTTTTGATTGTAATGGAATCATGAATCTCTTTCAGAAAAATACGACTACGTAGGTAGACTCCTAAAACCAGGGGAAGAACCATCAGAATACACAGATGAGGAAGATACCAAGGATCACACTAAACAGGAATGAACTTTGTAAACAACCAAAGTCAGGGGCCTTCGGAACTGCAACCTCTTTTCCCCATCACAGAATGTCCTGCATCTTTGGGTACAGTTCATCTGCTGCGAAAAACATTCAACAGGTTTTGTACAAGGAAAATAATAAAGTCACAACTGAACATTTGAATACTAGACGTTATTTGTGCTGCCAAACTTTTTGTTGCAGTTTATTTGTAATGTCTGGTAAGGCTTAGTGAAGAGGGGCCAGGGATTTAAAGGCAAAAATGCTATTCCTTTTTATCAGTAAGCTGAAGCCTTTTCAAATAGCATATATTACAAACTCTCTAAAGATGTGAGTCTTCAAGCTCACTAAAAGGTTTAAAACTTGTTTCATGTTTGTCTTATCCTTCAGCATTAAACAAAGATGTGCTCATGTGCATCAGTATCAGTAGGTTAGACTACTGACACTGGTGTTATAATGTGAATTTCCAATTTTGTTTTGTACGTGGGCCTTAGTAGCCCTGGCAGAATACTTCAGTTCTCTAAGAGAAGTCCACATAGATCAGGATGGGGGTAACATTCATCCTTTTCTCAAAAGGATTCGGTAAAACTCTTTCCTCTTCAACAACTATTATCTGAAGCCTGCCTCCCTCCCACTCCTTTTTCCCATTCGTCTGAATCAAATCAAATATTAATTGTGCCTTATTTCGCTTGCATAGACTTGAATTGTTTTAAGGGAAAGCCCTCTTTCATAGTCACTACATAGCGACATTGAGACTGAAGTTAGAATGTTCTGTTGACTGGAAAACCTTGATGTCATTCTGTGTATAGAATGTAAAAGAGGAATACTCAGTGTTACTGCCATATGTTAATACTACATATACTTAAATTAGCATTGTGATGGCCAAATGCATACTCCCACGCTTCTTTTTAAGTAATTTAAAAAAAAAAAAAAGTCACCCTCCCTCCTCTTCCAGAAGCTGCCTAACTTTTGGGAGCATAGCCTTCACACCCCTGTAGAGTGAAGGGGTGTGCGCGCGTGTGTCTGTGTGCGTGTCTGTCTGAATGCAAGACTTGAGAAGGATTGTTTCTGCAGATATTGTAAATACGAGTACCATTTTAATAAAGCATGTACAATACCAAATGGACTGTCAGACTCTATGTAGAATCTGTCAAGCAGAGGTGGAATATGATGGAATACAAAGTAAGGGGAAGAAGTCTTGGCTGTGAAAGATTCACTGTTACTAATGTTCCTAGCTCCAGGGGTGTTGATTTTCTCTTCAAGTCCCACTTTTTGAAGAAACTGGAAGACTCACTCAGGTAAGTTGTAGTTAAAGGAGTAAACTTATGCCCATGTATTTATGGTGGAAAAAAATCAAGTGATTGTATATAAGCATTCTAGAAAATAATATAATGTACAAAAAAACCAGTGTGTTTCATGGTGCTTGCAGTTGGAGATCAATACATGTGGATCAATGTAAAGATCTTGCAGAAACTTCACTACCTACTTTACCAAATTTCTAACTGTGACACCATTAAGTTCATGACTTACAGCTTTATGGGTTACATCTGCATCTGTGCTTGCAGATTTTATCTGTGATATGTTTACAGTAACAGATTTCCATATATTCATTCTGTTGAATTGTCAACCCTGAAATTTCAGGAACTACTATGTTTTTATTACTGTTTGACTGAAAGAGTTTTGTGTCAATATAAATGAAACAAAATCCTCCACTGAATTGCTTGTAATTCACATGTCCTAGAAGGCAGATTAAATTCTTTTCCTTGCATATGCAAGCCTGAAACATAATAGTTTTATCACAGCAGAAGAAACAACTGAACTGAAGCCATTTCAACTTCAAGGTTCCACTTGCAGGTTCTCATAGGAGCTGAATAATGCAGTTAGGTACATGGGTGGCCATTAATGTGTGCCATTCATTAAGGTGCTGGTTTCTGTTTATGTCGCATCCTTGTTAACTGAGTGTGGATGCAGTGTCCAGTCTTCTGTTTGTGCATTATTACTATAATAAGTAATCTATCTGCTAATCATCGAACGCTGCTGCAGTGTTGGTTAGGCTGGTATAACTAACTACAGGAATACAATTTAGATGGAAAAGCAGAAGCTGCCAGCAAATGAAGAAAAGCTTTCTTGTGCAGGACAGCAGCTGGTAAACTTGTGTGCTGATTTGCTATCCAGACACCTTACTGCTTCATTTTAACCAAATCTAAAAGGTTTACACTGTAGTTGGAGTACGCTTATCACATGTTAGCTCTTGCTCCAGTTCCTGCACCTCATTACAGCATCAAGGTGCGTGTAGCTGTGGATTGGGAATAGGCGGCTTATGCTTGTATCAAATGGGACAATCAGATCAAGTTTTTTCAGGCTTCCACATAAGAATACTTTTACAGTTGATTGTATTACAGCTTCTACTGTACAGAGCCATGGCTGGAGATTCCTACCACCTGACATGACTTACCCTGTTATTTACTCATTACAGCTATTACTATTGCTATAACTGGCATAGCTGTAGCTTGAGCTTTTTGTCTTGCTTGTGTCTGTTTTATGTGAAACTTCTTACTGGGGAAAGAGCAGTTGTTTTCATATGCTGTGCCTTACTAACCCAGTGCAGCCGTTTCCTTTCACATGCTCAAAGAACTGCAGTGCAGCTTAATCAGATCAAAATTACATGAATGTGGGTGTTTGTTTTCTTTTTTTAAATTATTTAAACACTTTTAAAAAAGATCAATGCCCCAATACTTACGATTTAAGATTGGATAAATAAAAAAGTGATCAAAGATGAGTAGAAGGATGATTTTTGCTTTCAAGCAACTTAGCAGTAACTGAAGACTACAGCATAAAAAAAAGTCATCTCTTGGCAGTAACGTTGCACAGATATAATCATATATTTTGATGCCCAGTGGATCTGACTTCGGCTCATTTATCCTGCCTTAAAAGTCACTAGTGATTAGAGGATGACAACCTAAACAGTGCTTTAGAAGCACACCATATCCTTCATTTTAACAGGAAGTTGATGCATACAGCAGGCATTCATAGTTCAGAACAGCATCACATCCTTGGAAGCTTCAGTGAAATCAGCATCGTAACTCTTATGGAGACACTCATCCTTGGAGTAGTTATAGCAGTCACCTGGTCAAAATTCATTGCTAAACTAATAAAAATGACAGGTTGATATTGACAAAACTTTTGTTTAGGGAATATAAGGGACTAGTCTCATCTTCATTAGAAGTGAAATACGTTTCCAGTTTGCTATTACTTCTCTTCTTGGGCTAGACTGTGTTATTCTGGGTTAGAAGCAGTCATTTGTTAAAATGTTTCTGGTCTATTTGTACACCACTTCCCAAGTTTTTGTTTTAGTGGTAGGAAATGTATTTTTAAATCTTGATTTTTTTTTATAAACAAACATTTTTACTTAATCTTGAACATAGCAAATTTTCACTGGAGACTGGAACTGTCCTGCATGCTTGTACATCTTCTTATCTTTTTATTGACACAGATCTGCTTTTCCTTCGTTTATTCCTGCTTTGTGGCTGTTGATTTTCTTGTTGGTGTTTCAGGATCAAGCTGTGTAGTTTTTGATGAAGCATAACTGACTGTCTAGCATAGAAACCAAGTGTTCTAGAAATTGCCTTAGTAAGCATAGAATATGTTTGTGATAAAGTCCTTAGCTTGCTTATTGCAGTCTTAGTTCCCTCCAATTTCCACGTTATGGCTTAAAGAATAGGTTGTGGGGGGGAAAAAAGCTGAACCAGTGATTGCTCTTTCAACCATGGATGGAATGATGTACTTGCAGTTGAAATTTGGCAATTTAGTCCTAGAAATCATGTCATTTTGGTCTCGAAGGCTTAAATATGAACAGGTATATCCACTCAGGTTAGTTCAAATGCAAGTGAAGTATTTTTTAATGAGAAAAATACACCCAATGCACCCAACCCAGAAGCATTCCCCTCTCTGGGGTTTCCTGTGTTTCTGTGCACTTTGCTATTCCAGAAGTTTGTAACTTTGCCGTGTTTCACAGTTCCAGTCTGGCAGAACAGCCTTCTTGCCAAATTAATGAAAAAAATGAATTATCCCCATTCTGGTTACGAACTGTTTTCTGTGACGATGATATTTTATTGAGCTGTCACAATTTCTAGGTAACTGGGTAAAGCCTACAAGCATACTATGTAAGCACCTAAGAATAAAACTCTCTGGAGGTGAGAAGTTGTGGTGGCAGGTCTGGATTTGTCATTGGCCATGAGCATTATGGAATAAAAGCACATTTCTGCTGCTTGACTTAGGCCCTGATTACATGGGAGTGTGAAGGTTGTCATTTCATTTTATGTAGTTGAAGGCATCACTTTTTACTGGAAAGAAACCACAACTGATGAGCTTTGAAGGTATTAATCCAAAGTGTTGCCTTAAAACAGCTAACCTAGATGCTTAAATTTCTTCAGAATTTTCTAACTTAAGTCTCATGTCACTTGGGTCATATAATAATGCCACTTCCGACAGGTTAAAAGCTGGTTTTCTACATAAATCCCATTACTGGGTTACAATTTGGGGGTTTGTTTGCTGCATTTCTAGTGGAGTTTGCAGAAGCTGAAGCAAAGGGCACTGCCTTTTTCACTCCAAAAATCTAGGATGAAGAAAGCAGAGAGGAAAGCTTTAAGACTACAGGTATAACCTAGCATAGCTGTGGGATTTCTCAGCAAAAGAACATCAGCCAATAATTAAGTCTGTTCCTCTGTCTGGAGTTGCAAAAGGGTGGTTTGCCACCTCAGCACAGAAGGATGCCTGATTCCAGTGGACACGGAGCACAGGCTGCTGTGAGTACGAGCTGCTTTCTGCTCATTTATCTCCTACAGACACCCAAATCCCTGCTAAACTCCAGAAGAATCTATCATGCAGATAGGCTACTGCTTCTCATTGTAGGAAAATATCTGCTCTCCACAAGGAACAACAGTTTTCCTTCTTTCCCTGAAAAGCCTTTTGAGCGAGACTGATGGAAAACCTTAACAAATGAGCTTTTAGCATAGTATGGTTCTGAAGTTTTTGCTGAGAAGTGTCTTTACAAGAAGGCATTCTATCATTAAGCACACAAGAGCTTTTAGACATGTGAAATGTCAAAACTTGATAAGTACTTAGCAAAAACCTGTTAGAATACAATCATTCTTAAGACGGATGAATTGAATGTTACCTTAAGTGGATGCAGAAGGCAGCAGAAAGAATGCTGTATGTATACATGCCTGCTCAAAGACAAATATATGGCTCCACAACAGGAATGCCAGTTACAGAAAGGTAATTAACAACTTTGAACCTTACAAAGGAACAAACTGCTTAACCAGTAGTCCTGGGGCTTTGTTCTAATCTTTGATGTTTGTGTTCTCACCTCAACATGTGAACAGCAGCAGTGGAGCTGTCATTCTTTCCACCACTCTGACAGGGAACCAAGGAGGGAAGGAAGGTTTAGGTCCCTGAGACAACAAAGGGGGCATTCCTGAAGGTAGGCAGAGCTATAAGCCAGACCTGTGTCCCTTGCATCCACTAAAATAAAGGGCCACACTCTAAACAAAGCCTGTAAGAGGTAAAGTATTCCCTCCCTTTAGTTTCAGCCTCATTTTCTACTTACCTGTCATTTTTTCTTTGAAAAAAAGCACTCAGGCATATGAAAAGTCATCACAAAACTTGACTTGCATTTTAAGATCCCACCAGAGGCAAACCTACAGCCTTAGACTCCATACAAGTGTTTTCTTCATGCTTTTGGAACAATAACAACAAAGCTTGTAATACAACATTATTGGAGGGTTGTTTTTATAAAATTTGGCAAGATATCACAAAATTATACACCATAAGCTTAGTCTGCACATTTTCCAATGAAAAAAAGTGAAATATTTTATATCTTTTACTTGTATATACAAATTCAATTCAAATTTACATTTGCATCATTTTCCTGGATAGCAAGAGTCATGGATCAAACACAGGGTTGAGATGTGTCACTTCAGCTTATGGAAAGGATGTTGCTTAAATTAGTTGTTTGTTTTCACTTAGAACAGGCCTTCTATAAAAGGCTCTATTTTGTACTGTAACTCTTTCAGCTGCTGGGAAGGCCACTGCTCATGTACTCATTTACAATGCAGACATTCATAATTCATTGAGTTTCACAAGACAATGAGTGAAAAAATAATAATGGACTTACTATGACAACTTCTAAGAGCTGATAGCAGTTTGACACTCTGACTTTGGATGGTCGTTCCGTTTGGACACCTTCATGGGTTAAGGCATTTGTGCTAGATGTAATTCTTAACAGAGGGCTCTTTTGTAGCTAACCAGTTAGAAAGCTGAAATTCTTCTCATTTACCCTCAGAAGAAGTAAGTAACCCACTCAGTTTGTACAGTGTTTTTGAAATCTAAGTAATGAAATTAAAAGAAATTGCATGATGTAAACACCCTCATATTTTAGCTACAGAAATGAACGTACATTTCAATAACTTACATTCAGTGAAATTGTGCTTAGACCTGTATGAAATTATCTTATCTTAGCTAGCACAATTTAAGCAGACCTTCATTCAACTATTGTAAAATTAAGCAAAAAAAAAAAAAGTTTACAAGGAATACTGTTTCCTTCCAAACTAATTTTTATTCCTTGAAATACAGAGGAAAAAAAAACTCTAAAAAAAAAAAAAAAAGGATGCCTCTCATGTTAGAGTGCTTTATTGGGATTCTGTGACCATCATATGAGAATTCTGCTAAAGCTACTTGAAAGATCTGCACCAACTGCAGATGCTAGGTGTTAGTTTAAGACACTGAATCAACAGATCCATTTTTCCCTGTATTTTACTGTGGCTTTTTAAGAACCAGTATTCAAAGAAGTATCTGCAAAGCTATCCCAGTTATGTCCAACTCAACTCCATACTTTATACTAACTATGGAGACCCCCCCAAAAAATAGAAACTATGTCTTTAAATAGAATCCAGCAGTGCTGTATCATATATAGCTGCACATTCTCGAGTGCACTTTCACACAAAGCATACTTTTTATAGTTACAGATTCAAAAGCAAACCAATCACATAGATCTTTCTTTACATTTAAAATTATATGTATACTGTAATTTTTTTGCTTTGGTAAAATACAAACGAAGGGACAAAGAAAGCGCAGTCAGTAAGATGGATATACCATATTTTTTTTTTTTTTCCCAGAAACATGAGCTGAAATGTAAGGCATCCCCAAAGTATTTTTATGCATATGCAAGGAATGCAGTTTTTTGTAAACAAAAGCTTGAGGAAAGCAATACTGAAGCCCAAGAATTTTCCCTAGGACCTTTCTGATGATCCCAAAACCAAGAACGACTCTCCTAGGGTGTTTTGGAACTTAATCCCATGAAAAAGAATGCAGTCCTTTGTCTTCCCATACATTTTTAATCATGTACTAGATGGGCTCACCTTGGAGATCTCCAACTAAAAAGAGCGATGAAAAAGCTGATTCTCAAGGGTTGCGAGGCTTAGTCTATTTTTCCGGTACATCACTTCCTATTGATTTTGTGGCAGCATTAGGATGGCCTGCTCTGGGTGCTTGCACAGTGTTCTCACTGGTAACGTGCTCCAGCACTGCAGGCTGAGCCACAGGAAATGTTCTACAGGAACGAGCCGGATGTCTGCGATGACCCGAATCCTCACCTGCTGCAGCAAACTGCCTCCTGCCACATTCTTCACTAAAAGGAGGCTGAAAATTAACATCAGTACTTTGTTAAGAGTTGTTCTGTAAGGCCAGGTATTTGCCCTTTCCTATACTTAGGGGAGCAGAAAGGAGCATTCTGTAACTGAGCCTTTAGTTAGGCATAGTAATATTAATTGTTAGTCACAACTCACCACTGATACTCTTAAACCTTCCTGGCCATTAAGCTACGAGTGTAAAAACATGACAAGTTCAGGACTTCAACATCTTGGAGCACTACATTATAGCCAGTGCCCAATATTTGCCACAATTCCCAGGTAGGAGGGGCGAAGAGGATGACATCACTGGAGCAGTGCATCACAATCCCGTTACAACAAACACAGCAGCACTGCAGTCTGGAATCGTGCAGCTTAAGAAATCAGCTGTCTGTAAGAAGGTTATGCTGAATTTGGCGTGCAAAGGACAATGCCTGTCACAATTCATTACGGAACTGCTAGGTGTTAATTAATTTGCCAAATTCCTGAAGAGCATAGCAGTAATCTGTCTTAGCAGATGACAAATAAACTATACATTGAGTTGAAAAAATCTTCAAAGTCCTCCTTCCTCAGCATTTCATATTATTAGATCAGTAAAATGTCCTTTTATATATTTTTGCTATTTACATTATACAATAAAAAGAGAAATTCAGCACTGTTCATATACTGGCAATATTTCAGCTTGAAAAATAACACCTGGAACAGAACAACACATTTTTCATTTCCATTTAACTTCTTCTAATCAGGCCTTGTAGTCACTTGATGGGATTTGTAAGTTTACCTTTTCATGAACCGAAGTACTGTTTTGAAACAGTTTAACTTGAAGTAAAGGATATGCCAAATTACTTAAAATAGCTGTAGAAACTTACATCCACTCTAAAGTCCTCCAGTCTCCTAAATTTACTGAGGTATTCTTGCAGCTTGGGGTCAATGGCTGGTGTCTTGTGCTGAGAATATTTTAGGTAAGCCCAAAACTTTTCCAGTCCATAAAGCTGACCTAGTAACAAAAGAAGATAATTTTACCGATTTACAAAGGCTAGACTTAACTAAAAAACTAACTGTTCACCAGTATCCACATATGAAAGAGAAACTAAAGGTGCGCTTAAAAACTAAACTAAAACTGAGCTTACTAAAGAAGTGAGTGCCAAGGAAAGGGGATTATCTTCCAGCTAAAGTCACCCTGCTGTAAGCAGTGACTGGCCTATGATAATTACCAGCTTCATAGTCCCTCTTTGTTTCTTCTTGGAAGTCCTTGAATATGTCTCGCCTGAATTTCTTTTCTAGGCCATAGCTGTAAAATCGAAACAAGCATTCCAACCCGTACCTTTGAAGAGAAGAGAAGAAACAGGTATGGGAATCTTAGGAATACACTCTAATTGCTCAGAAGCATTTTTCCCTTTCTACAAAAAATGCTTCCTTTTACACTCAATTTTTATTAAACAGTTGTTCTGAAACACCTTCACAAGTAGGCAAAATTAACTTAGCAATATCAGTTTTGTCACACAGCTTCAATTTATGAACTACAGACTCTATGCATGCCTGCAATTTCAAAACAAATGCTTTTACATTTTCAAGATATTGAGACCCACAGCTCCCACATGAAGAATGGCCTCCAATTTTTTTGGACTCTGGTTTCTTTCCATGCCCCGCCTGTTTTCTATCAGAGGGAATAAACAACTGACAACAGTCTACCTGCCACTCCCTAATTGAACTCAATCATAAGCTTCTTAATCATCTACTCTGAGCTGAGGTAAGGTACCTACCTTCATTTTACCTTACTTGGAAGCATTAAACTTGGCTGTCACACTCAACTTTTTCCTAATCCATAGTAGCTGAGGAAGTGGGAAAGTCACAAAAAAAAAAAAAGCCCTACTGCTAGAAGTTACTACAGTTATTACTGGTTTCCTTCCAAGTTTAATGCTTTGTGGACCCACCTGAATTCTTAGCATGCATATGTGAAGTCTGCCTTGGGCAGCCAAGTGGAGGTCAAAATAAATTGCTCGCTTTTCTAGGTAAGTGAACTGAGGCCAAAGGATGTTTTAATCCAGCTCCCAGTACCAAACCAGCCACTGTGTTCCTGTATAACACTGAACTCTTACCATGCAGACACACACCTTTTATCTGAGTGCTGAGTTCAGTCATCAGATGAGTACAGTATTGTGCTATGAATACATGAAATTATGCAATGGTGAGAGCTCCTAAAGTCAAGTTGCATCTAGGTATTTAGTACAACTTTAAGGAACACTTAACTAGGGAAATATTCGTGCCAGTAGCACTTGCTTGAAGTATTTTTTAAAGATAAATATACAAAAGTTATTTTTTCAGGAAGGATCTGGATCAACTTCTCTTTATGATACCACAATATGTTACATTTGGCAAAGACAAAAGGACAGCATAAATGGGACCTCCTTCTGTCAAGCATTTATGTGCTATCCCTTAAGAGCCTTCTGAAGTTTTTCTTGGAAAATATATACTTGGATAATCACAAAAGCATAAAGAAAGCTCTCAACTGATATACAAATGATGATTAAAACCACCTTTGCATCCTACAGACTACACTCTAGAGGGACAACACATCCAAACTTTGTAATTTTTATAAACTTCCTCACTTAGCATTCAATACACTGGGCTACTCTGTGTCTTTGATTAATGGAGGCTGGGGAAGGAAAGGAAGAAGTGTGTGGGAAAAAGAGGGAATATCGAAGAGCTAATGTGGCAGTGGTAATTTTTTCTACTATTGTAGGAAGACAAGCAATTTGAGGTCAAGAATGGATGAGAAAAATTGCAGAAACTTTCCTAAGCGTAGAGCTGACTTGTCAGAGTCAACAAGTTGCATGATTTTGGAGAATTCAGGACCAACTAAAGGTCAGGAAATGCCATACACTTAGCTACTTATCCACAAAGCACAAATACATACAAACACATTTTTGGTGTTAAAACAACTTGCCCAGACTGCTATTTTAAAGATTTACAAAGATCTAACAATAAAAATGTTCACTTAAGATGTATGTAAAAAAAAATACATGTAAAAAAAGATATATGAAAAAAAAAATCACTGTAATTAAAATGACTGGTAAAGACCTCAAACTTTCAAATTTTTTTTTTTTTTTAAATTTCAGTTGCAAGAAAAAACCTCATACCTGTAGTGTTCTTTTGCATCGTCCAGAGCAAGTTGTCTGAATTCTTCATACATTTTCCTGTTGAAGTGATCTCTCAGGAAAAAGGACCAGAAACGAAAAAGTGTGTTCATTTCCTGGGACTGGCCAATTCCCAACCGTTTCCTCTCTGTAAAGGAAACAAACACACAGCCCCAAATTCTTCCTTCTTCAACAGACTATTTTCAAGTGCTTTTTCATTAGTAACACTGACATAAGACCTTCAGGAATTGTAATTCTGAACTTTCAAAAGATATTTTCATTAACATTATTTATGAAGTTTTAAAGTCAACTAATTATCTTCTCTCAAGGACTCAATATTTCTTTTAGCAATGAATATTAATACAGAAAAAGTTGCTAGAAAATGTCAAGGATTTTGAGGGTATTTTTTTTTTTTGTCAGGGAATTTGAAGTTAAATAGAAAGTATCATAAAATAAAAGCACCATTTTTCCCCAAGAAAAATGACAGATCAAGAACAACATGGAGAAAACCGCTATCAGGTGACAACTGATTATTTCTTGCTAAAAAGTTAGGAAGTACACTAAGTGGCCTACCTGTTAGACACCTTCGATGATACTTATGGTACACCTGTTGTGTAAAGCCATTTTCCTTTAACAGTTCATGAGAAGGATGCTGAAATTTTGGAAGAGAATTTGGAGTACAACCATAACCTCCTGCAAGCGCAGCTCCTTCTGAAGGTGAAGCACTGGAACTGCTGCAAAAGAAACATTTCTGTTTCACAGACAGTGCTTTTCCACAGAATCAGCTTTCAACCTTTCAGCTGTATACAAGCACTGTCAGCACAGTATGATCACCCGACAAAAACTGTGATGTGTCTTGGATTCCCAGTCATCCCTGTTTTCGGGTGCACATCTACTTCTGTGCTATTATCTTTGAAAAGTTTTTGATGATGCTAACTAAGCATTAATATAATACATGGTATTAAATGACCGCTTAAAGGCAAACAGAGTCACTGACCGTCAATGAGCATCAGTACTTCAGGTAACATTAATGAGATTATATCACGGATCAGCAAAGAACAGAATGAGAATCCGCTAATTAGTTCACTTCTGCATGGCTCTCCTTCTGAATTCTAGGTTTGTCTCTAGTCCCCATTTACCTTTCTTCCATCACTCACTTTTGCTTCCACCGCGTGTAGAAATTCTCGTTTAATCGCAGCCTATTTCTGCACTGGAGATGAGAACTAATGATGCTACAAAAAGAAATTTTAAAAACCAACCAACCAACCCTTACCTCACAGAGGAAGTTCTTGGCCTATGGTCTCTGGAATCCATCACCCAACCGACATGGCATTCTAAGGGAGGATTTGTACTGTGCCGTGTTTTTCTTTTTCTTGGAGCCTAAGGAGGAAAATGAAACATTTACTTTCACAATTTGATTTCACTCATTTTATCCTCCCAAAACAGCATGCTGCCCATTTGATATTGTATCTAACCAAATATAAAATCACAATGCTCCACCTTCATAACCTGAAGCTTATTCTTATGTAACAAATTTAAAACCTTTAGATGTTACATTTCTTCATCATGGACTTTTAAGAAATGTTACAGAGAAAAATCAGGAACCATTTTGTAGAAATAAACATTTGTGAAGAAAAACAGTTATCAAGTACAATTGTTTCATTTTTGCCTTGACATTCTTATAAATTACATTACACGCATGAATTTTATAGGCTTTCCATACATTTTAAATGATATTAAGCCTTTCCATTTACCTTCACATCAATGGATTGTGCTTCTTTAACAACGGGGTAGAACCTGGGTGTTTTGTTGGGATCCTGTAGCCTCGGGGTGCGAGGTGTTCGTGGGGTGAAACCAGGGTGAACTCGGGGAGATTCTGGAACTACAGTTGGCAGTGACCGAGTCACTGTTGCTGCTGGTAGTGCTTCAGTACTGAAGAAATTACAAACTGGTTCCTCTGCTAAATCAGCAAAAAGGAAAAAAATACTTTATTTTCAAAAGAAAATTGAGCTTTGAAATCTTAAGCTCCTCTAAATACCTAAGATCTTAAAGGCATGATTTACTTCAAGTGAACTACATCATCCCCAAAAGGATAATTGAAATAACAAAAAAGCACTTGGTGCAGAAGCAGTACTGACTGACTGCTCAAAGCGATAGAATAAACATTTCAAACACATCTTCTCTATAAAATTTATATCCTCTCTTTTCTGCTTGTTTTTCTGTATTTACAATGGCAAAATAAACAAGTGTAAACACATTCTTGCTTTTTGGTTAGGTGTTTTTCTTCAACTACTTTAAAGATATTAGCATGTACCGCAGTAAATGTTAGTAAGATCAGAATTACCCTAAAATATAACATTTGGACATTGCGACTTCTTGATAAAGTTGTGGTATGAGTAGAAAATTCTTCCCACTTCCTTCCATTTTCATTTCCCAGAAAAATACCAATCTAGAACATCTTTCACCTCCGTAACTATTATGTAACACAGTGTAGACAGCAAGTTACCATATAGCATGGCTAGGTGCTTTTTGCATAACAACGGAACAGAATGCTACCTATAGATGATCATACATGTCCTGAGAAGTACTGCTAGTATCAGCTTCTTCTAACACAATGGAAACTTCCAATACTGATGAAGAACTGACAATTGGAAAAATCGGCAAAGAAAAATTCTCTCAGACTGCCGACTGAACAAAATATAAAACATTACACAAGCAGAAAAAGTTAAAATACGTGCTTCGTTATAGAGATTCTAAAATAGAAATACCTGTGTTACATTACTTACCTTTCTGTAACTCTGAAGAACCCAGAGGAATTTCTTGGGACTGATCAGCAATCAGTTCTGGTGCAAGATTATCAAATTCTTCCTTACCAACGAGATTTAGCTTCCTGAAGTTCTCAACCTCTTGCTGAATTAGAGAAAACAAAAAGTGTAAACACAAACCACAATGGCCATCATCTTGAGGAAAGAGTGAATATCCTAAGAGAAAATCAGCAACCTAGAATTCACACTCAGCTAAACTCACACAAGCCAGTACAGATGTGGTTAAATGTAAATGGGAGTTCCTAGTTGACATGAACAACACAACCAACACTGTATTTTCTGCAAGAAAATGTTAGGCCACCAAATGGGCACACAGAGGCCAATGGGGCCACGCTCAAGATTTTTAACAGGGTAAGAAACAGAAACAACTGAGATCCTATCTCTTGCCAAAACCAAAGCAGTCTGTCTTCTGCAGCAAGTCTGACAAGAAAATCAACTTAGGGGGGCAGGAGATGATCTGCTCCCTTCTTCAGGCTACATACAAAGAAATGCCACTGTTGTAAATGAAACGGCAGCACCTCAAAGCACTCATGATCCTGCTCAACTGAAGGTAGTGTGGCACGCATGCATGAAATATAAGAAAAAAACCTCATTTAGGTTATGGCCAAGAACATCACAACAACAAGAAATTATTTTGTCTCCCTGTGTGCCATTTCTGAGTGTCTTGTTCCAGTCTGTTGATTTTCTTGGACCACTTTCTTCGTAATAAAAATTGCATATTCTGAATCCCACCTTAATTTCCTGCTTTTATTCTCAACATTCATTTCTAACTCTGTCAACTCCCTTTTGTACCCACGTGCTTCATTCCCTTAAGTTATTTTCACCCTTTTCCTCCTTCCCATATAACACACATTTGTCCTTACCAACAGGTATAGCTCCTTTATCTCATCATTTTAGTCTTTGGGTAACTTTATTTCCATGTGCACATGATCTGCTATTGATACAGCAGCACTGCCTACAGATAAACCACTCACTGGGCTCGCTTTCACAAAAAGTGGATTCTTAATAAACCAAAATCAGTAAGTGACAGGACAGTGGTGTTCCCAGTTTACCTCAGCCTATGAAGTGCTGGAGTTCAACACATCTGTAATTTTATAGCTATTTACTGTATGAAAATAAATCAGTAGAAAAAAAATCACAAAACTAACAAGCTCCTTCTGAAGTTTTGAAAGCCTAAATGACAGGGGCCTCAAATACAAGCTAGGAAATAAAAGGGTTGCTATAATAAAATGAGGCGTGCAATTTGCTCACACAGCTGCACATTCTTACAAGTGGCAAGATAAACAAACCTCTAAATAAACTACTTAAAAATGACTATAATGTCCTCCTCTCTATCTTACATAAAAAATACGTCCTTATACTGCCTCTATACTCGGGGTTTGAAAGTGCTTTTTATGAAACAAGCTATGTATAGAAGAAGAAAACAGTGGAAAAGTTGAACCATCTCCAAAACATTAAAAATTGTTCTACAAAATATCCATTCTGCGCTCCTGGTCAAATCTCTGACAAAAGAAAATTTTGCTTTCAACTGTCTACATCATCATGAAAATAAATATAATTTACATTTCTATTGAATTCAACTGTCAACTTTCTTTCCAAAATGTGTGTCATATCACAGAATGGCCTGGGTTGAAAAGGACTACAATGATCATCCAGTTTCAACCCCCCAGCTATGTGCAGGGTCGCCAACCAGCAGACCAGGCTGCCCAGAGCCACATCCAGCCTGGCCTTGAATGCCTCCAGGGATGGGGCATCCACAGCCTCTCTGGGCAACGTGTTCCAGTGTTCACCACTCTCTCTGTAAAAAAATTCCTCCTAATATCTAACCTAAACCTCCTCTGTCTTAGTTTAAAACCATTCCTGCATATCCTATCACTATCCACTCTCGTAAACAGTTGTTCTCCCTCCTGTTCATAAGCTCCCTTCAAATACTGAAAGGCCAATAGTTCAGTTGTGTATCAGACAGCCAAAATAATTTTAGCTCTGTTCACACAGGCATTGTTTTAAGGTTAAAAAAAAAAAAAAGAAAGAAAGAAAGAAAAAAGAATTACCATTACTGTAGTGTCATTTTCACTCTGCACTGTCCACAAATCCTGTTCATAGTAGTATAAGCCATCATTAATAACTTTAGCAAGTTCTGATGTTATTTTTCCATGACACAAATGGTTGCCAGCACGACCTTCACCGGGATGTTTTCTCATATATGGTGGTGTCTGTGTTACTATCAAAATCTTGTTTACGTCCTGATCATCAATTTCATAATCTGAACTGCTATCTGACCAATCAGTGAATTTATTCTTATGACCCTGAATTTGTTCCATCTCTTCATCAAACAAAAAGTCAAGTTCTTCTTGTTCTTGTTCCTCTGAAGGTGGGGGTGGCTGTTGTTGGCCTGATACTTGATCAGGTATAGGAACGCATTCCTAAATAAGAAAAGGTGATGCATTTTATACTTTAAATAGATTATGATCATCGAAATAGAAGACAAATAGAGCACGACTGAACACTTTCAATAATGTACATACAGAATTAGAAATAACACAGCCACTTTAAGATATTTGTCAATCTGACAAGCATAATGAGTTTTTAGAATAATTCTCATAGCACAACAGCTTTTCAATAATGCACATGTACAACTGTCCATCAGCAGGAAAAAAAAAAATTACATTTCATTATACTGAGCTTTGGATCAGGATTTGAAATGCACTTGGTTATTCTAAGTCTCGATACGGTGAGTGGTGCCCACACTAACAGTTTTACATAATCAAGTATCACATATATTGAAGTGTGGGGAAAAAAAACCAAAAACAACAACTGTTTCATACTAAAGTGAGAAGGTTTTACATTTTCTTATTTAAATAAAGTTCTTTCTCATTTTACCTTTACTCTGACAGTGGATGCATGATGCCTGTTCTTCACTTCTATCCAAGGTTCAGAGTCCAAATCAGGCAAACTTGTAGACAATCCTTTAGATATTGTCTGAAAAGTACTTGTTTCAGTGTTTTCCTTCAGACTCAACAAGCTTCCCATTCCTGGAGAACTTGGTGCAGACTCTAGCATTGAAAAACAGTAGTTCAGTTCCTGTTGTGTTGTTTCTTGTTTGCTTGGTTGTTTTTTTTTTTGCACATTGGACTTTCCCTTAACCTCAGCTACTACTTGCTACCTCTGTGGTTCAAGTTAGCATTGATTAGCAGAATTTCTTTTCATTTTAAGAGATTTTCATAGTATTTTAGGAAAATACTAATTTATCAGCTTACTTAAGTTAGAAATATATAACAGACTCAGAGCAATCATCTATTATTCAGAAAACAATTCATTTATCAGGGATATGCTTTCTCTACACCAGACGCCAACTCTCCGGATGGCTGCCTAACTCAGTCTTCATTCTTTCCATTTACTTTGAGCCAACATTTTAGCAAAAGATTTACTTGCCAAACACTGTTTGCAAGCAAAGCAATCTCCATATTAATAGTGTGAATGAAATACCCATCCAAAACTAGGGTACACAAAATGCAGTTAACATTCAGCTAGTATTAAAATGAAGTAGATTTTACGACTATCTTAAGACTACTACTGCTTCTGCTATTGCTAATAAAAAAGGACTCCAGGCCTTTATACCTTCTTCTGGAGACTGGTCACAACTATAACACACAGAAGACATTTTTATCTACTTAATATTAGCCATATTAGTCACAACCGCAGGCATATCAGTTGAATAGACCATTACCAAATGCACAATTTCTATTATGAAAATAGTATCAAGAGGCAAATTTCCTCAGCTAGACAGATAGCTCCAAACTTAAGTTTCTATTAAAGAAATCCTTTACCAGTATGTGAGCCATAGGCTTGGCCTGGTATGAATTCTGGACAATTGATGAGCTGAGAAAAGTCAGTCGTTGACAGATTACAGGAAGGTGGACCTGGAATTGGCCACTTTTCTGGATCAACCCTTTTTCTTATCCTCTGATCCACAGTTTCAACTTCTGTACTGTCCTTTAGGGCCTGTTGGACAAGCACATTATAGCTTAAGAAAACATTTCATATCCAGTACCTTCTTTATGCTCATGGAAAACAGTCATCTCTTTTTATAGTACTTAAAAAGGGAATTCAAGCTTTTTGTACTTGTTCATCATAATGACTGTCTGTTCTTTCTTCTTCCAGTGCAAACAATCTTTTCCACTTTCAAGGATAACCATTTATCATCTTTTTTAATTTCATCAAATATCACTTCCTTCCTCCCCCCAATCTGCAACCCTTTCCCCGTGAGAGGGCATCAAACCAGCTCCTCCCTAACTCTTCTATCCACTCTTCTAGTTCCCCAGAATTAACTCCATGCATTTTCTTCTTAATTTTAAGCATAGCTAACAGGCAGTACAGAATCAGAGTGGTCAAGACTGGAAAGGACCTCTCAAGATTGTCTAGACCCTCTATTCAAGCAGGATCAGCCATTTTTAGTTGTGTTTGAGCACCTTCAAGGATAGATATGGCACAATCTCTCTGGGCAATTTATAACAGTGTTCAACCATTCCCACAGTAAGATAGAAAGAAAAAAAAGTGAATAAAATCACAAGCTAACAAATTGCAAATATTTTTCCTTTCTGACGTTAGCATGAAGACTGATACAGAGAGTAAGACCCAGAGAAATTCTGTAAAAGAATTACCAAAGATCAGTGGGTGCAGAAATTTGCCCTTTATTGGAACAATGAGTTGTTCCCCAGCCAGTTACGTACACATAAGGACTTCTAGTCTATTAAGCAGACTTGTATTTCCGAAGTAAGGGAACCCGTATCTTAATTACAAAAGATGCTCAGACTATCTTCTAGTTAAGAAGGAAATAGTATCATTTATGGGGTAAATAATTTTTTTTTTCTTTAACTAACTAGACTTCAGAGAGAAGACTGGGTATAAGATCTAACATACTCCTAGACAACAAGTCCAGGAATGATCTTATAACAGTATGCTGGAACTTCTCTTGAAGGTGATCATTTTCTGGAGGAAGATCCATTGGAGGGGGAATGCAGGATAGTGCAGCCCTGTGACAGAAGCTGCTTCCATTAAATGCAACTTCAGGTACAAGTGAAACCAATTATTACCCTCAGGAGAAGCATGAATTCAGCTAATTAAAGGAAAAACTGCTATGAAAGTTTAGTTCAAGTACATTAACATTATTTTCACTTTCATTTTGCAGCCTAGGTCTCTGTAAACACTCGCACTGCGCTGCTTACTTTAGATCTTACGAAAGAATGCTTCCAGTTTCCCTTAGGCTGTCTTATTTAAATGTGATTTAAGGTAACTATGTAACAGCAAAGCACTCCTTAGACTAGCAACACACCAAAAAGGCTCCTCCCAGACATCCTCAGTAGCATCCAAAACATACCACATTGAGACCCTATTTTGTCTGCAGACACTAAGTAGAAAACTAGCAATAAAGGATTTGGAGAGACCATAGAGAGCTGTGAAACAGTAAGGTACTGCAGTTCTGTTAAAAGAATAACCTATAGTCCTAGAGATCCTCTACTACAGTCATCAATTCTGTTTTGATGATGAGGCTCATGTATCAGTAAGCTGCTGAAGTACTGGACAGTCTCAGAGCCACATGAAAAGGACAACATCTCAAGTATGCACATATCCCTGCTTCTGGTCAGATCAGCAATATGCTGCAGGAGGTTTCTGTGCTAGAAGCAGAAAAACTTCTCCCTGTAGCAGCAGCACGACAATCATCAGCTTAAGGACTGGACAATACATTTAATGACAAGGTCAGCAGAGAGCTGACATTCATCTTATGAGAGTCAATGGAAATAAAATAGGAGCTAAACAGCAAGTGGATTCTGTAGAACAATTTCCATTTTCTTGCTTGCTGGCAGCATTTACAATTTAGGCAAGCCTGCTATTGGAAAAGTATCTCTGGACCTGAGGAAAATTATTGCCAGAGAAGGATTCAACATCATTCAGGAACACACTGTTAAGATCACTTCAGCTTGGCCAAGTGTGTTATGCCGTAATTTAAACAGATACCCATTTTAGCCATCTAAAAAAAAAATTCATCTGGAAGAGACAGGCATAAAGATCTGTTCCCTTTCAGAAATCTTAACGCAAAGTGTTCTTATTTTAGTGGAAAAGTAATTTGGCAGCCCAGTTCTCCCACTCAGACTGAAGGCATAAGAACTGCTCTCCCTAAAAATCTTGTAAGCTATTAGAAATATCTGGTACACCTTGGCAATAGACACTGACCAAACAATAGGATTTGTGCTAACATCCTGAAGATTTTGTCAATCTAACAGTTGCCCTAAATTACAGTAGTGGCAGGTTCAGTGAAAACCCAATCTGGACTACTGAATACTCAAATAAACTCTGCAACTCTTTTTGCTCTAAAAAAGAAACACAGCAAAGCATGTTTTCCACTCTCACTCCGCACACGCAGATGTGGTTCTCTTGACAGTGCTCACATGGAGGTCTGTGATGTGAAACCTTCATAATCTATAGTTGGTTTTATTTGTTTTAAAATACCTGTCAGGGTATTTCTGCAACTATCCAACTCACACTCTAAATACACGATGATTAGCTTGCAAAGGAATCATCAAAAGTTTCTTCAAAGTACCTGCCTATACTAAGAACACCTACGTGCCATGTTTCAAGCTCTCAAAACACAGAATCCTCAAAGAAATAACAGAAGATGACTGACTCTGCAAAAGAGAGACTTGCAAGTAGGCTTTAGTAGGCTTAATATGCTTCTTAGGTTTTGGCAATATTACAACTTCTCAGCACCAGATAACATCCCCTTTACATTTCCTCCTTTCGTTTTCTTAAAAGAATGACCTTGGAATGACTACATGTTTTGCTATGTACAAGCACTCTGTTGTATACAGCAGCAAGGAGTTCCTATATTATACGCACATGAGAACACCTCGTGTGGGTGTTAAAGACCACATTTCTCTCAACTTCTGATTCAAAACAGGATACTGAAAGTACAGAAGTGAGTAGGATTCTGACAAGAAAAACAAAGTAAGCTTAATCTAATGCACTAAATTACTGACCCTATAAGAATCTTGGATATAATTCTTCAGTTTGTCTACAGACGTAGAGATGCCTGCTCCTTTCATCTAATTGCTGCCCTTCATCATCTCCCCTTTCTGTAGCCTCACTCTCAGAATGTTTACAAACTGCAGAAGAAAACATTTTCTGCAGCATCCAACCCTCAGTTCCGATGGGACTGTGCAAAAATCCATAAAAAAAAAAAAGAACAAAAAGCATCAAAACTGTATACACAAATGCTTCTGAATTATTTTACCTCCAAAATGAGTGTAGCATTTGTAGTCAGAGCTTGCACCCTGTGGAAGCTAGCAATCAATGAAATAGGCAGAAATCCTTGTCGGTCCATCTTTCTCCTCATAAAGAAGTCTCTTTCCAAGTTTTCTGTGCTGAAATAATACTCACTGGACAGAGAAACAAAAAAAGATGCAAATATGAGCCTATTATAACAGAGTAAATCCTGAAACAGTAGCCAAAATATTCCTTGGTAAAGTCTTCCATTAAAAAATAGAGAGTAGTTTGTAATCAACAACATCATTTTTTCAACAGGTATATTGTTGCAAACAAAACTTCCAGAACAGCATGCATGCATCTCCATCATCTTAGGAATGACTTATGATCCAGTACAGCACACAGGAATACACACCAAAGCCTTCTTACAACCTTTGCATGAACTGTGTGTGGAAAGATTCTGTTCAGTTTTTCTTTCACCCATCCCTCTTTATTACTTACATGAACATACAGAAACAACATTCTCTTAGCCTCCATATAAGATGAAGGACAATTATGCTTACATCTTATTTTCTGTTCAGCAGTGCCAGTGCAACCTCATCCTGAACTGTCTCCTTTCCCAGTTTCCAGTACATTAGAAGGTTTAAGTGTCCTATCTGAGTGCTGAGGCATGTACATGCACTCTGAACCACTACTTGAAGCATGCTTGTGGGAAGATGAGAGCACCAAACCAGTAATCGTGTATTTTTCATGAAATTATACCAAACAGCACAACAGATCATGGAGAAAGGTAGAGGCTAAATGAATAAATGATACTTAGTTAAAAAGGAGAAGATGGACAAGGACCATTTCATGAATCTGACAATGCTACAGAACAAGAGAGACAAGCAACAAAGAAGTTGCAGAAAGACAACATCTTAAACAATGAAGTCACTGTATGAAACGATTAGGATGTCAAGATCTTTTATACTTAGTGATGAGAAAAAGCAGAGAATTGAAATCATGATCAGACATACAAAGCATGGGAATAAGAAAATAACCTATGGAAGAGAACGGAAAAAAAAAATTGTGACTAAAATCTAAGCCTTTAACAGGGTTTGCACATAATTCCATATTTTAGCATACTACATCCAAGGAATACTACTGCTCATCAGGTTCAGGAAAAAATAAGCAGTGAAATGTTTATTCTGTGACTTAAATAGAGGGAGTGCAAAATAAAACAAACAAAAAAAAGCATTAAAATGCTGAGGAAAAAACACACATGCAAATATAAAGTCTAATTCCAACAATGAATAAAATGCTACACATCTCCACTGAAGCTGGCTCAAGGCTAGAGTCACCAAAAGGAGTGGATTGCGATGCCATCAGTGAACCAAAGTGAGGATTGACACCATTTCTTTCTAAAACTTGTGGTGGCTAAAAAATTTTTAAAGCAAAAGCCATCTATATGAAACACAAAAGCCTCAAAGTTGGACAGTAAGACATATGACAAATGAGCACGCTGCCATTAAATTGAAACAAACAGCAAAGAGAACATAGCTCCTAGAGAATTAAGCTCTTACTCAGATCTAAGTAAATTGATCGGCAAAGCAATTGTGCACAAAGGTTTCTCTCAAGAATATTCTATTTACTGTGCTCAATCAATGTAATTCTTTTCCCCTAAAAGTCTAGAAGATAGACAAGTACAAAAGTCATGTCAATGTTTTTGTAATGGTACCTTTACAGTCATACAGTAAAGGTAAAAATCTTGTAATGATTCACCTAGTTAAAAATTCCACAAGCAGAAATGGACAGTGACTGAACTTGACTCAAACTGCCTCATTTGATGTCCATCATTCTAGAAAAAGGAATTCGAAAGAACATTAATGATAAACAAAGACAATGCACAAGTTTGTTTAAGTAGAGGGACAAATCTAAACACAAACACACACCCTCCAGCTTCGCTTTTCTTACTTTCCTCAGAATCCTTTTATTTATTCTTGAATCAATATAGACTTGGATACACCTCTGAGCTTTTGTCTGTTTTTAAGAGAACTTGGAGTTCTACTGTATGTTGCACATTGAGGAGTTCCAAGGCACTTAAACTTTCCAGGCTGATTATTTCAGCCCATAATTAAAAGTGGTAATGATATTCTTGTAAGTAATACAAATATTCCTCTTGCACATCAACCTGTTTCTTGGGACAAGCATAAACTGCTTGACAGGAGTGTACTTCTTACTGTAATTACAAATCAACTCAGTTGGACACAGCATCTAACATTTTTCCTTATTAAGCAGGTAAACAGTTATAAAATTCATCAGTACACTACAGAAAACAATTTCCCTTCTCTAATACATCCTCATTTATCTCAGACTCCATAAGGAACTCCAACATCCAACAATTCTGTTCAGCTTTCTTTTGTACATGCTTCCTTCTTTGGCACAATCACTATCACTTTAATATTTTAGAACTCAATTCCAAAAGGCAGACCAAACCATTTCCATGGATGAGTTAATGACACATAACTGATGAATAAAGTTGGTTTCCCATCATTTTTATGTGATATAAGAAATGTACAATAAAACCACTTTTTTTTTCTTCTTTTTCCTTTTTTTTTTTTTTTTTTTTTTTAAAGGAGCACAAAAATGGTAAAGTTATATTCTAAACCTACTCAAGAATCTCTCTCTCGTGAAAAGCAAATTCCATAATCCTAGTGCCTTGGGAGACTATATCAGACAAGCAACCAATGGCAATGATTAGCCAGCTATGCTGTCTTTCATGGACACCTGCCAACTTCTTTTTGCTAAAATAAGACACAAATATAACCAGAAGTCAGATGTGACCAATGCTGCAACTGACATTTTTCTCACCAAAGGGGGACATCATCATGTCCTACCTTAGAAGGTCTGGATTCTACACTGCATGCCCAGAAATCTGGCCAACAGTGGAGTGTCTGTGCTCCTCCCTCACTTGTCTGAGGACAGTGCAGGCCGATTATCCTGACATGGGGGTACATGTCCACTGTCAGGTGTCATAGGGGCCTGGTAGCAAGAGTAACAAAAAAGACTGCAATAGAAGTTTTGAAGTTGATAGTCACATGCCAGATACTTTCTGCCCTTAAACAGGCTTTTTTCTTCCTTTTTTTCGTCAACTGTAACAAAAGAAGCAAGAATAAAATAAGCAAGTTGCTTTATGGAATACAAGGGCAATAAAAAACCACCACACAGGCATCACGGGGAAATGCCGTTACAAGTACAGAAGATGAAATATCTGCCAGTGGTGGCAACTGTCTCTTTAAAATGAACTAGTGGTTTCCAGGCCCTTTTGACATGTCTCCTGGTGATAATCAGTCTTCCAGATGGTTTCTCATTCCTAATGGTATACATGAGAAAGTAAACATTTCAGATTACTAGAAAATCAAGTATCATTGCAGAACTACTCTTTCAGTTGAATGTTTCAAGTGAAACACTCTGAAAACATAAAACTAACAAGAACACTCAAAGTGAAATTGAGAGCAAATAAGGGAAACCTGTAGCTGCACCACCCAAGAAGAGCTTTATAAGCAAACAGACCGATGGTACTCAAAAACACAAGCTCAGAGACATCCGTATCTCAATTACATGACAACATAAAAAAGGGCTATGTAGCATAAATAAAGGTATATGAGTTAGAGGCACACTACAGCACAAGATGCAGAACAGCTGCCTTAAAATTCCTCCCCATCGCTCATGTTTTTTCACACCATTTGTGAGTAAGCTCAAACAGACACTGGAAATGGTCAAATCAAAAACAAGTTGAAATGTCTTCATCCCCACCATTTTATGGGTGATAACTCATTCCAAACAGTGTTTAATCCCTTTCTTAAACGATCTTTCAAAATATCTGCATACTAAACAATCTACTTACATTTGACGTTTTATATATTCTTTCAGAAGAACTTCATCCACAGAATACATCTGCACTCCTGTTCCATCATCGTAGTAATACATCATACTAGAGTTAAGCTCAGGTTGAAATGCTTGGTCAGTTATTTCACCATACAGTTCTTGATAACCAACTGAATAGTCAAAGTTCCCTTCAAAATGCAGGTGAAAATAAAAATTAACTCAATTAAGCCTGGTATAGACAAATTTTAAGACATAAACATGATACACTCGCTACCTCATGATTGGCTTTCAATATCTGATTTAAAACAAACAAAAATCCCACAAACTACTTGAAAATATCAAGCTACAGGATATGTATCTTGAGATAACCCTGACTTCATATGAAAACATCAACATTATAAACATAGTTTAAAAAACAGACGCCACTCATCTATTTCTTTGCATACTTCTAGGGTTTCCTCTGCTTCGTCCTCTTCCTTTGCCTCTTCCTCTTCCTCTGCCTCTGGAGAATTCTCGAACACTGCCACCCTCACTTCTTACACTGCACACTTCATCATGATCATCTCTCTTTTCTCTATCACGATGCCAATCTTTAAAAGAAAAAGTATCATACAATCATAATTAAACATCACAGTACAATTAATTAGTCTCTGATTCATTCCTAGATATTAACCTTAAAAAACAGCACAGAAAAGCACTCTTTTTGGATACTCTGAAATGTTGAAGGAAATGAAACTGCTGAAGAAAGGTTTGTGTAGCAGTGCCTAAGCGTGAGTGGGTAGAAGCTGCTAGCAATAAGGAGTAAACGAGCTGACTGGCAGTCAATCTCAAATGCTTCCGAAGCAACTGGACACTCATGCCAACTCAGGGACCACAATATATGCGATAAGTCTAGGATGGGAATGCATCATCATGCCATTCTCCTTCAAGGCATGGTAATACTCTCTGCTCCCGTGGACAACTCCCAGTAGTTAGTTACAGGAAGCTGCACAGGGCTGCTAGCTCTTGATAATTCTGCTCTGGGAAAGATTTCCAAGGCTCTCTGGAACCTCCCTTTTGTTCCCAGAAACAGCCATTTACCACTCCCCTGACTCAGCCTTTTAAACATCAATATTTTATTCTCTACTGATCTTCCCCTAAACGGAGCTTTTAACTTAAGAATCCCTTTTTGATAACACAAGTAAATCTAAGCTCTGTAAAATCATCCCCATATTCCAGGGAACTCCTTTGTTGGAAGAATAGCTGGGTGTACAAACCCCATCTAATGTCACTGAGATCTGCTAACTTCAACATAGGGCTGGCTAAAGACATGTTTTTTTGTTCCTATTAGAAATCCCACTTTACTAGCAATTATCTTTAAGAAACCCTGCAACAAAATCTGTATGCTTGTACATTCAAGTTTCTGTATTTTATCTTCTGTCAAATAATAACTTGAATTTACAAATGTCCTAGTCAGTACATGTCTTTCTCTATGGGAATTTGGACCTCAGCCTCTTAGAGATTCCAAATGTGGCATTACTTGAAGTATTTCCCCTAGCCAGTTTCATTTTTGCACTGAGTGTACACACAGCTCCTAGACACATGCAAAAGCCCTACAAATAACACGTTCAAGAGCAACTGTTGTATTTAAGCCTGACACAGGTTTGGTTTGTTTGTTTGAATTTAAATAACCAATATTTCCAAAGAACAGAAGAGGTTTTATGCTCTCTCACTCTGAAATTCATGTTAAATGACCATGGCCTTGATGTAAAGTTTACACTAGAAGTTTGTGGTTGTTTCACCACGGGGCTCCTGAGGAATAACTGCTGGAGTAAAGTGAAGTACTAGTAAAAATCCTTCCCCTGTCCCCTTCTGTTCCTCAGACATCCAGATAAAACCCTTGTATCAGTGTTTCTAGCATGACTTCAAAAACAGAACTCATCTCAGTGGTGTCCAGTACTTATTATTATAGGGAGCAAACACTTGAATTGCTAATGCATATCACAATTCTGAAACTGAAATGCAAATGTACAAACCATAGAGTTATAGTTAGCCTGAGATCTCTACTTTCTGACAAGCTCTATTTAGAACACCTGAGGACCAAAGGCAGTACCAGCTATGGTGGCTAGAAAGGTGGGCCCAGGTGAACCTGATGAGGTTCAACACAGCAAAGTGCAGAGTTTTGCACTTG